GAAAGAAAGAAAAAAAGAAAGAAAGAAAGAAAGATTCATATAATTTTTTTAGTATTATATTTTTGTGTATATCTTATTTTATATATTACTTTTTTAGAGGAGCTACCTTATTTGATTTTATGATTCAGTTTGTCAAAAAAAAATAGCGACTATACTTTTAAATTGAATATTTGTATTATTTTTTATGGTAAAACGTAAATTTATTTTTTAAAAAATATAACAAAAAAGAATTAAAAGACCAGCCATGAGACCTTTTAATTTAAAACTAAGGGTTGAACTGGTCTTTTATTTGGGTACCGTAACCTGGTCCACGTGTTTTTTCCGTTCAAATTGATTTTCTTTTCTTAAATTGTTACATTGCTGCTGGGCTTCATAATTTTGTAAGCAAATTCAAGTAACAAATGTAGCACAATATATTTTTTTCCGCCAAGTAACAAGCATTGGAACTTCATATCATACGTAATAAAAAAAAATTTAAATTTAGTATAAGGAAAAACAAAGACTGATTATTTTAGAATTTAATATTAAATTATTAACCATTACTTACAAGAACCAAGTCTAACAAAAGCATAAGTACATTACTCAAATTTTAAAAAATGATTGCAACATCACTTGATATAGTTGGATTTTTTGACCTAAAGCGCCAAAATATTCTGGATAATGAACTAATAGAAAACTTTATCAAATCTAATAACAACACTTTTTCTTTATATAACGATTTTCCAAAGTTAAAATTACTCTTTATTAAATATAATGTTGTTCTAACATCAAGTGCTCCCGTAGAGCGCTTGTCTAGGTAAGCTCATTTTTGGAGATAAACGAGCATGTCTCCTATATAATAACTTTGAAATTAATTTGTTGTTAAAAGCAAATAAACATTTATTAGATTCTAATTTTTATGAAAAATAAATGTCTTTTTTTCAATGCAAATATATATTTTTATATTCGATGTAAATATTCAATTTTAATAAATAAATTGTATATTATTTTAAATAACTGATTAAACTTTGTTTATCCCAATTTTTTTTATATTAAATAAATGCATTCAATAAATAAATAATGCGCATATGAATGATGTATAAAGTAAGTAACTAGTTACTTTTGAAAATAACTGTAATTAATAACTAGTTACTTTTGTAAAAATGTAACTAGTAACTGTAACTAGTTATGTTTTTGCCAATGTAACTAGTAACTGTAACTAGTTATGTTTCAAAATTAACTTTTAACATCACTAGTATTGTGCTATTTGGCATCAAGAAAATTGGAAGAACTGGTAATGCTATTTCTTGCAGTGTGATAACATTAGTAGATGTATATTAAAAAAATTTCCAACTATCCCTCATCTAATTCTATGGGCTGATTCCTGTGTGGTCCAAAATAAAAATTCCATTATAATTTATGCCTTAAAACATTATTTAGCTAATAATACGACAAGTCAAATCAAATCAATTCAAATCAAATATGGTGCACCTGGCCATTCGATTTTACAGGAGGTCGATTCAATACATAGTCAAATTGAAAGATGTTTAAGAAAACATGAAATCCATAGCCCTCTAACTTTTTATGGATTAATAAGAGTTGCAAATCGCAAAAACTCATATGAGGTGATTGAAATGACCCCAAATAATTATTTCGATTTCCATTCTTCATCAAAAAAATTCAAAGTTAACCATATACTATTCACTAATCAAAAAATCTCACAAACTCAACCTTTTTATTTGCAATATAGATTATCATTTAAATCCAATAATATGATTAAAGTATCAATTTAACAGGATTCGAAAACACTTAGATTAAATTTTGATCAAGAATTAGTTACAATAAAATTTTCAAATATTAAATTGATCCCGAGAACGAATGGTAAAATTAACGATGAGACTAAAAAAGATATTAGAACAATGTTAGAGTTTATACCCAGAGCTGATAGAGAATATATGGAAAAAATTATTAATTAAATATTAATTTTATTTTACATTCATTTTTATTTATTGTATGAATAAAATAGAAAAGAAAAAAAAGATATAGTTAATTTATTTATTAAATTACATTAATAAAATGTAAATGGAGGTTTATGAACATTAAAAAATAAATCATAAAGTGTTATATTTGTTCCACTTGCATTTTGATTTTATTAAATAAATTTTATATTTAAATTTTTTAAACAAAAATTTTTAAGGCTATAAATAAGTAACAAAATGATAAATTATCTCTGATATTTTTAATCAAATTGAGCAATAAGTTTTTCCAATATTTGATTTTAAACTTTAATGTTGATTTTCTCATTTTAAACATTCGCGCAAGTGGAGCAGTCCAATTCTAGGCCGACGTTATTAGTTTATTTTATAAAATAGTGTCTAAAATGGTAACACAACATTATATTAGTTTCATGACCTTTTGTCAATGTAGGTTGCTAAGAAATACATTGTTTTAGCGGTTTTTAAAAACCATTATCAATTGAGGCAGTGTATAAATTAATTAACCTTTTTTATCATTTGTTATTTAGACGCAATCCGCATTCTAAAATATTTAATAATCTCCATAAACGGCACCTTAGCCAATATTTTTTGTATTAGGTTTACTCCAATAATATTTAGCTAAGATCTAAAGCTTTTTTGGCTAAGGCTAAGCCCTAGCTGATTTATTTTGACTAAGATTAACCCTAAGATGAAATTTGGTTAAACTTATCTGAAGCTGATTTAAATTGTCCTAGGTTGAGTATAAGCTGATTATTGTTGGCTATTGTTATGCATCTAACATTTATAATAATTTTATTCAGAAGGATGAAAATTGTCACATCTCACATTTAAACATTTTCATACCATAAATCGGCTCATGGCTAGCCATAACCTAAAATAATAGGCTTAAGCTTGGTCTTGGCCAAAATAAATCAGCTTAGACTTGGTCTGAGCCAAAATAATACGGCTATTACTTAACTTTGCTTCTCAGGTATGTTTATTATACGATTAACGCCTTTACAATTTTAAAAGGGGCCGGCCGAATCGTGATCGATTTGACGTGGAATGGCCCATATATAAATTTTGCCATTAAGTTTTTTTAATAAATGACGTATAATAATTTTCTTAAATGGTTGTATATCCCTTGCTTCTTTCTGTGAGCATCCTATATTATCGATCAATAAATATTTGGTGGGGGGCTAAGCCAAAAAGTTATCTCGCCACTTAGCGAAAAATTTGGTTAAGTCTATAAATGCAATAAGCGAAATATTTAGCTTTTGACAAAATTTTTATGATTTCTAAACATTTATTTTCGTTAATTTCTCCAAACATTAATGCATTATATTTTTCAGAGACATGCAGAGAAAACGATTTTCTAGGGCCTCTAACTAATTTCCCCAAGGAATTTTTTTTATTGGCTAAAACCTAGAATCCTAATTTTAAGCCGGGCATAATTTTTTTTAAAATTTTAAAATATTTTGGCTGCATTTTGTAAATTATTTCACAGGGAAAATTTTATAGCTAATTAAATAAAACAATGGCCATAAAATTTGGCCTGGCATTTATAAATTGAATTAATACGCATTCGTTAATAATCTAATTGCATGTTTTTTGTCACCAGATTATTATAATATCTTATGTTTAAAAATTCGATTTATGGTTAAAAAAAATTGATTGGGACAGTCCTAATTTTTTTTTATTAATATGACAAATTTTTGGCCATAAAGTTTGGCCTGGCATTTATAAATTGAATTAATACGCATTCTTTAATAAATTAATTGCATGTTTTTTTGTCACCAGATTATTATAATAATCTTATGTTTAAAAACTAGATTTACGGTTAAAAAATAGATTGGGACAGTCCTAATTTTATTTTTATAATATGACAAATTTTTGGCCATAAAATTTGGCCTGACATTTATAAATTGAATTAATACTCATTCGTTAATAATTTAATTGCATGTTTTGTTGTCACCAGATTATTATAATATATTTAATGTTTAAAAATTTGATCTATGGTTAAAAAAAAATTAATTTTTTTTTCAACGAAAAATTTGAATCGAATACAAATACCATAATTTATTATTCTAATGTAAATAGTTTTATTCGTTCAAACCAACATTTATTATAAGATAATGTACCCGGCTGTCGAACTATCCGGTTTTGTCAGATCGGTTACTTATCTGCAATGATATAGTCCTTATATTTTTACAATATTCCCCCTTCTCACCCTATTTATACAACAAAATATTAAATCGTCTTTGCATAAATTACTGCTCAAAGCAATAAATAAAAACACGCAATTAAGATACATTTTATAAATTGCATTTCTATAAGAAAAAAAAAAATTTTTTTAAAGAAAGAAAGTTGAAAGAAAGAAAGAAAGTAAGAAAGAAAGATTCATATAATTTTTTTAGTATTATTTTTTTGTGTATATTTTATTTTTTATATTACTTTTTTAGAGGAGCTACCTTATTTGTTTTTATGATTCAGTTTGTCAAAAAAAAATAACTACTTTTAAATTGAATATTTGTTTATTTATTATGGGAAAATGTAAATTTATTTTTTTAAAAATATAACTAAAAATAATTAAAAGACCAGCTATGAGGCCTTTTAATTTAAAACTACGGGTTGAACTGGTCTTTTATTTGAGTACCGTAACCTGGTCCGCGTGTTTCGTCCCGGTTTGTGCCGAAGACAGGACCGTGGGCCTTCACTAATCGTATCGCGTCTTTAAAAATATTTTTTATCACAAAAATTTGTTCTAAACACTTTAAACGAGAAGTGATCATATATATATATTTATATATGAAAAGTCAAAAATAGGAATATATTATTCCCTTTGTAAAATTGAATCGTTCTTTCAGTGACATCTCTTTCTATATTCTAAGAAATATTTATGATTATTTTTTGATATTATTTATAAAAATTACAAAAAAAAACTAATATACATTAGTTGGCATAAAATAAATGTTTTATTAACTAATTATATATTTACTAACAAACAATATTTTGTATTATTTATAATATTTTTTATTAACTATTCATTAAGGCAGACATTTTATTCAAAACTATTTAAGAAGACATAATATTTTTTCAAAATTTATTAAAAGGAAAATTCTGTTTTTCTCAAGAAGGTAAAGAAAAAGAAATTATATATTATTTATAGCGGAGGCCCCGTATAGGTCTTAATTTTAAATCGGACCCATATTATATATATATATCAGAGTTGTTAAAGGATCTAGATACAATTATTTATATCCTGTATCTAGATATAAAAATGTGATTTCTGTATCTAGATAGATTTTTGATTAAAATATCTGTATCTAGATATCATTTTATATGATGTATCTATATCTAGATCCATTTAAAAAGTATCTTTTAACAACTCAGATATTTATATATTTAATTATTTTTAAACTCGACCCGAGTCTCTGCCGACCAGAATTTTTTTAAGCTATACTATTTTGCTCTTACCCGCGGATCCATGGTTTATACTATTTTCCTTTTAACCTGAAATATTATTATAACACTTCTAGCATTTTATTCCTTTTAAAAGGGCAGTATTTTTGTTAAACGTTAAACTTTCCAAGCAGCGCTCTACAGCAACCTCTTCACTATTTCTTTAAGAGAAGCGCTCTACCGTTACTTACTTAGGAGTAACGCACTATCGTTACTTTTCAAAAAAGGAGCATTTAAGCAACTAGATTTAAAATAGACTTCGTTACTTTTAGGTTAATAATATAAAAAAAAAATTAAGTGATATATTATTTATAAAAACATTAATATTTAGAAAATTAAAACTTTAAAAAAATATATATATCAATTTTGGTTATTTTACCTTACATTATTATATATATAATTATAACTGGTGGATTTGTTAAATGCAATTATTTTATTACATTTTTTTCATTAAACACAATTTAAAAAATAGGAAATATTTTTTGGTTATATTATCTCGCTCAGAATTAAAGAAACACTTGATCAGAATCTACTTTGTTTCCACAGATATTTTTTCTTAAAATAGAAGACCATTTTCTGATTTATTATTTTTTTTAATCTTAACGTTTCAGTTTTATACCTGAACAATTTAGTATTTTTTTTATCTAGACAATCAAGTCTTTTATCTTGGCATTAAGAAATTAAAATTCAATATTTTTTCTGATCGTTTTAGGCAGCCTCTACATGACAGGGTTTTCACTGGATGCAAACCCTCCTCAAAAACCTATGCCTAAGCCCCTAGAAAAATTCTCGCCGCCTTCTGTGGCTATCTTCTCCTATTTTTAATTACACCCTTCCTTTTATACAGGTACTTCTTTCATAAATTTTAAAAAGAATAACTTAAATTATTTTAGATCTACTACCAACTATCAAAATATTGTGGATATAAAAAGAGTTATAATTTAGATCATGAATCCATTTAATAACCCCTTCATATAAAAGATATTTATTTTCTAATCTCTTAGGAATACCTTAAATAAAATCCGGTCTTTCAACATAAACACTCTCAATTTTAAATCTGAATACAGGGAAAACAATTGTACAATTCTAAACAATATTTTTGTGCATTGTCTCTGACATAGCTGGTTATCATGGCGATAATGCCCTAAGTTACTTATATAAGTTCTTAATTTTTAAAAAATAACTACCTATCTAGTACCATTATTGCATTTAGCCATATGGAACTAATTCACGATTTAAATCATTTTGGGAAAAATTATTTTATATTTCTTAAAAAATTACCATCGTCACTAACCTTTTAAATGATTATTTTTTGAAACAAATTTTGATACTTTTATGTAGGGCTGTGCCTATATTAAATATCAGATAGGTACCAATACCCTTAAAAACCGATCCGATCTTTTTACTTTTTTTTTGTTATTTTATGTCATGTATATTTATTTATACATTATTATAATATTTTCTAAATGTTTTATTATTAATCTTTTTAAAAAGTTTTATTTATTTTAAATCTTTTTAAATGATTAACACCAATTTTATTATTTTATTGCCCAAAAATCTAAAGTTTCTCATATTTTTTAAAAAAAAATAGAATATATTATAATTTTATATATTAAATATTACAATTTTATCATTCACACCAACATAAAATGTAGTGTCTAACTCGATATTTCATCCAGAAAAATATTACGTAACCCTGAAAACTTTTTTCTTATAGAAGGAACAAAGGTCTAGACATATATTGTCGAAATCTTTAAGCTTATGAAATATTTTTCTGGCTAAAATATTGAGTTAGCCGTTTTAAAAAGCAAGTTCAAAACGATCCATTTAACAACACTAATAAAATGGATATATTATTAAATATATAATATAATTATATTTTTTAAATTATAGTCTTAATTTTAGAAATAAAAAAAAATTGAAATTAAATGCATAATTCGATTTTTTACATAAAAAAATATTGATTTCTTAATTTACATTTGGTTCAAAGGGAGGTGGTGAAAAATCAATTTAAATATCGGATCGGTTTTGAGCAAATATCGGATCGGATCAGTGAAATATGCGTGAATCGGCACAGCTCTACTTTTATGATGTTGTTATCATGGAGTTTCATCATGTGTAGTTATCCTCTTTATTCCTATTTTTCAAAAAAAAAATTAATTTTAGACACACTCGCGATAAGAATGAAATATTTCACTTCGATACTCCTACTCCTTGTGGTGGTAAGTTTTACCTTTTTTACTAACATAAATTATTGGCCAAATTAAATTTAATTAAAAAGAGATGGATAAATTTTACATCATTTATTTATTTAATAGGTTTTGGCGGCCGCGGTGCTGCAACCTCCAGTGCTTGTACTTGGTTGGGGAGCTTTGAAGCCTGCTAATGAGCAATAATTCCTGCTGATTGAAGATTTGTTCATTCTTATATATAATATAATGATAAAAATTTTGTGATTAATTTATCATATAATAATCAATAAATTTATCAAACTTTTTTAATAAAAAAAAAGAAGTAGATTCATGCATAATAATTAGTATATAATTTGGAGGTTTTCAAAAATTTCTCAATTGTATGTTGTGATAAATAAGATTTATAACAAATCATAATATTAAAAATCATTAGTTCTGAAAAGGAAAGAAAGAAAGAAAGAAAGAAAGAAAGAAAGAAAGAAAGAAAGAAAGAAAGAAAGAAAGAAAGAAAGAAAGAAAGAAAGAAAGAAAGAAAGAAAGAAAGAAAGAAAGAAAGAAAGAAAGAAAGAAAGAAAGAAAGAAAGAAAGAAAGAAAGAAAGAAAGAAAGAAAGAAAAAAAAAAGAAAGAAAGAAAGAAAGACAGAAAGAAAAAAAGAGAGAAAGAAAGTTTTTGAAAGTCATAGTATAATGAGCTATAATTCAAATGTAATATCTAAGAAAGAAGAATAAAATAATGGCGGTTTCCCATATGGTGGTGTGTATGGGGGGTTATGGCGTATGTCCTTATTACGGATAAATAGCTATGCTATTTTGAGATGACTCTATTTAAAAATTTTTGCTAATATTTTTTAAAGATAACAAAGGATTTAAATAAAATAAATGGATATCAATAGTTAATATCAAATATAAAGTGAAAAGTTGTATGCCGCAGAAATTGAGTAGTATTAATAAAATTAGAATTCTACAATATTGAGGAAGGTATTTTTTATCTGCATAATTAGTTATAGGGTAGGACTGATTGGAAGTCTAGCGTTTACTGGACCGATATTTTAAAAATTATATTTACCTCCAATTAATAAGCATGAGTTAATAGCCGAAAAATTGATATGCAAAGAATAGGAAAAATTTAAATCATATTAATTTATTTAAAGGCCATTACGTATTTTAAAATATCGGCGAATCTTTAATAAAATAAAAATCTGTCATATTCAGTGAAATAATTTAGGTGACAATAAATTTTGGGATTTTATATCTTCACCAATTTTTTTTATAAATTATATCTTTTCTGAAAATTTATTTTGGTTGTAAAACGTTATGAGTGCTGGAGGCTTTTCAGTCTATGGGGTTGTGGTGACCCGGGATATGGTTTCTATGGTGAGTATCCTGGATCTGGAAGTTATGTTTCTTCTCATGATTATGTAGATAGCTAGACAATATTATTTTATTTATGCAAATATTTCTTATTATGAGTTCGTTTATTTATTATCGATATATTCAAATTTATCTTATTATAAGTACGTTTTGTCGAGATATTCAAATTTTATTTTGTGTAATTTGAGTATTTGGAATTTATTTTTAGAAAATATAATTTTAATAGTTTTTGTGGTTATGATTTTTGTTTTTACATTAGGTTTAATCATAGGGAGAAGTACAGTTTATATTAAGATAGAGATTATAGAATTAGAAAAGGTTAAGAATATATTGAGAGATGTAGAGAAGAAGATAATTGTAGACAAATAATTTGTTTTAGTTGCGGCCAGCCGGGTCACATGTCGCGACAATGTGATTTAACGAAAGATTTAAAGTACGAGAGATGTGGCAAGAATGGCCATGTATCTATTAGATGCAGATTAGACAATTTGATATTAAGATGTAATACGTGTGGTCAAGATGGACACACACAAGAGAGATGTAAGAAATGACTAGTAGAAGGAAATGTTAATTGTAATGATAATTTGAATGATAATTTTATTAATAATTTGAATGATAATTTTAATGCTAATTTTAAGTATAATTTTATTGATTATTTTAATGATAATTTTAACGATAATTTAATGATAATTCGAATGATATTAATGATAATTTTGGTGATAATAATAAATTTCTTAATTTTGTTAATTTTAAATCAGGTATTAAGAGAAGTAGAGATAGAATGAGAGATATAAAGAGAGAAAGGAGAAATTTTAATATATATAAATCGAAAGATGCAACTTTGGTAGACGTACTAAAGGTTGAATTAGAGGATTTTTTAATGAAAAATAGATGCCCGAGAATAAGGATAAAGATTGAGGAAGCTGAAATATGTTTTTAATTAGATACAGGAGCAATTAGTTTGATGAGTATAAAGAATTTTAATAAATTTTGGCCAGGAAAAAAATTTGTTATTAAAAAGATTAGAGCCAAACAATTAGATGGTAGCGTAGTGAAATATTTAGGTTATTACAGAACAGGATTACCTGGAATTAATAGAGGTATAACTTTATGGATAACTACTTTGAATATTGAGCCAATTTTAGGTTGGGGAGATATAAAAATATTAAATCCGATCTTTATTGAAAATATCTTGATAATGAATGATGAAAATAAGACGATAGATAGTGATTTCGATAAACTTAAGTTTCCTAATATAGTAGATAAACAAGATGTAGTTCTCGATAAACTTAGAAATCGAACTCCAGAGTTTTTAATTGAATATAAAGACGAAGTGAATAATAGTTCTAGAGGTATAAATTCTATTGAGGCAACACCAGTTGAAATCTACAAGCAGAGAATTAAGAAGATACCAGAAGAGGAAGAGATTGTGGAAGATAAATGCAGCCATGAAATATGTATAATTTTAGAGCAATACATGGAGGTTTTTTAAAGAGGAGTTAGGTACGCTAAAAGATGTTGAAGTAGATATAAGATTATTAAGAGACTACCAGCCTAAATTTTGCGGAGTAAGAAGATTACCGTTTTCTTGGATAGATGAGGTTGATAAGGAATTAAATAATTGGTTGAAGAAAGGTATAATACGACCTATAGTGCATAGCGACTGGGCGACACCGTTAGTCCCCATAAGAAAAGCAGATAATAGTTTAAGACTATACATAGATTATAGAGTTTCGTTAAATCCTTGGATTATCACAGTTAGTTATCCATTACCGAGGATAGAACAGTTATTAGCGAACCTGAGAGGAGCTACCTTTTTTTCGAAGATAGATTTCTCGAATGCATATTTACAGATGAAGGTGAATGAGAAAACAAGTAGATTGTTAACTATTACAACACAGAGGATTATTTGCGTTCTGTCGTTTACCGTTTAGATTGAAAGTATCAGCTGTGATATTTCAAAGAACGATGGCTTCTTTATTCCATCAAAGTTTAGATGGAATAATGTATTATTTAGATGATGTTTTAATATCAGGTAGAACCGAAGAAGAACATAATACTAAATTAGTTAAAGTATTAGATATAATATTAGAAATTGGCTTAAGAGCTAATATGAAGAAAAGCGTTTTTGGAGTACAAGGAATAAGGTATTTAGGTCATTTTATTAAAGGAAATGAAATTACTCTGATTCGAAGAATATAGACAAGATAGTGAATATGCGAGCGCCAAATAATAAATCTGAATTACAGTCGTTTTTAGGGGCTACGAATTATTATCATTGTTTTATACAAGATTTTGCTAAAATTGCTACACCATTATGTATTAAAGAAAAATAATAAGTTTGAATGGGGAACAGCCCAAAAGGAAAGTTTTGAAAGATTGAAGATAAAGATGGTAAGTGAACCTATACTAAATTGCTTCGATGAGAAATTAGATATTGTTCTTGCAGTAGACGCTTCTAATGAAGGTATAGGAGGAATTTTATTACAAATAGTTGACAATATAGAAAAGCCTATCCTATTTGTGTCAAGAAAATTTAGCAATGCTGAGAAGAATTATTCAACAATAGAGAAGGAAGCATTAGCTGTCAAGTTTGGTTTGACCAAATGTAGAGAGTATTTGTTAGGCCGAAAATTTGTGTTATATACTGATCACAACCTTTAGTAGGGCTCTTTAAGAAAAACAATAAGGAGTTGATGATTTCACCAAGACTACAGAAATGGCTTATATTGGTAGGGAATTTTGATTTTGAAATAAGATTCAGATCAGGTAAACAGAATTGTTTACCGATATTTTATCGAGATTGTTTGATAAGGACTTTGAACAAAGACAAAGAGCCAACAATATATAGTTTAGAATATAGTGAAGCAGAAGAACTTAATAGTAATGTTATAGGAGCCTTAAAGATAGATACAAGAGAAAGGCCGATAACTTTAGAGCTGGTAGCCAGTGTCTACATGGCCGGGGGGGTAGGAGACAAATGCCTCCAAAAAATATTGGCATTTTGGGGGGTAGGTATTAATTTTGGGGGGTAGATATTGATTTTTGGGGGGTAGGCATTTGTTTTTGGGGGGTAGGTATTGATTTTTGGAGGGTAATTTTTGACTTGTATTATGATATTTTTAAATCCAATAATCGATATGATTATCGTTGATTTTCTGAAAAATGTCAATTAAAGAAAAGATATCTGTCAATTTATAAATATTATACACTATATTTATTTTTTTAAATTTTTAGAAAATTCATTTACATAATGGGATTTAGATTTTCACAGTATCAATTTTAAATTATCAATATATATTTTTTTATAATAAGGACCTTTTGAATAAAGAATCCCTTTTATGATAAGATAATCCTACTCAATTAACAATATAAAGAAACATTTTTGGATTTTAAAAAGGTAATTTTTTAAGCATATAATTGCATTTTCCTTAATTTGATGATAGATAAATAAATATAATAAAGAATGAAGCTATTTTTATTTAATCTTAATATGTATACTTAATAAGTTATCTGGGTTTTGAACCATGGCAATTATTTTTGCTAATAATTTTTTAAATAATCATTTTCAATGGGGTAAATATTACCACATTTTTGTGAGGCAATCAGGTTGGACCCATAATTGATTTCTATTTATGATAAATGATTCTTTGAGGTAAGTGTAAATTATATACAAAATTATAAGTGAGAGGTGAAAACCATTGTGTGATAAAAAATTTGTTAAAAGAATTGATAAATTTTTTATTTCATTATTAGATAAATTTTATATAACATCAAATTTTCCATAATATATTTGGCCTTTTTTCTAAATATTTATAGAAATCTTGGGAGAATGAACAGATAATCTATTCCTCTCATTTGATTATTGATTTAAGAAAAGATTTCAATTAAATGAATTGACAAAGTGATTCCATATACTGAAATATTGTTTATTTTTGTTAACAATAAATTAAATT